AACCCATAAAAAAAAAAAAAAAAAAAAAAAAAAAAATATATATATATATATATATATATATATATATATATATCAAACTTATCCTGTAAGTTAAAATCAATTTATGCACCTCAGCTTTGGCTTTTGGAGAAGTTAAAAACGAGAGAGCTTCTATAAAAATTGAAGTACCTAAGTTGATTCTAACTTACAAGAGAAGTCTAATTTAATTTACTTTCTTATTTTCTTCTCCCACGAGAGTATTTAGAATCTGTTTAGATACAAGTTTAAAAGTATTTTTAACAGCTTTTCTATTTGGAAAAGCTCTTTATTTATAATAGAGAAGCTCTCAAAATTTCTTCTAAACTTGCACTCAAACAAACTCTTGAAAGTTTATCCAAATTATGCCTATGTTGCACTAAGCTACCCTGCAGTGGATAGCGCACTCAGAAGCATTCCTACCAGTACCTAGTAAGCTTAAATATGTTTTTAACCATGAAAATATGTTGTTTTCTGAAACAGATCCTTATTTAAACTTTATTCAGTTTCAGTCCTTAAAAATTACAAAAAGCTATGTGCTTCCAGTCCTTACTCCTTAGTGAGAGACTAAAAATTCAGTGTTTTTGTTACATGTAAAGATTAAAATAAAAATAAATTAAAAAAAAAATAGGGCCCAGAAACAAAACCATATATGTAAGCCTAAATAGTGTATCTATCTAACTATCCACTAAGGAAAGAAGCACACTAGGTCACAGGGGAAGAGATGAGTAATGAGTAAAACAACAAGCTAATTTCCTAATTCCACTTCATTTCACCCAAGGCATCATAAAATACACTAAATACAAGTACACAAAGTGTCCAAGTTAAAAAACTAAAGAAAAAAAGAAAAGAAATTGATTTGTTGGAAGGAAAGAAAAAAAAAAGAGAGAAATAATTGGTGGTTGGGGCTAACCGGTGCAGATCCAATCGCCAATACGAGGGAGCCACTTGGAATCAGCGGGGGTTTTGGTGTCGACGAGGAGGCGCGGTTGCTTGCAGCGATTGCAGAATGATCTGAAGGCGTAGTTCCTGTTCTTGCAACTGCTGCACTCCCAATCCCCTTCTCTCCCTTCGCCCATTTCACCTCCTTTTGCGTTCAACATCTTTCTCACTCAACAAACTACACGGGAGAGGGATTTTGATTTTTGGGTTCCGTCAGATAATAAATATATAACAGTGCAACACACACACACAGGGAAGACGGAGAAAAGGAAAAATGACAATTTACTGGTGTCAATAAAATAATGATACGTTCATGTAATGTAACACACTCAACCACACTACTGGGCTTTGAGTGAGCCCATTGGGCATCGCTCGTTGCGTCGATTGGAAACCAAAGAAGGGTTTTGTCGCATTAATACCGGATGAAAAAACACTAACTACGCTAAGGATCATCATATATACACCTCCTTTTTTATAAGTTCTTTTTTTAAAAAAAATAATTAAATTTTTAAAATATTCTTAATTTTTAATTTTTTAATTTTACATTTCTAATATTTAATTTATGACTTTTTTTTACACACCTCTTTTTCTTATTTTCATATACATCCTCTTAATTTTCCTCTACCCCTACCTATTTTAGTAGGTAATTTTAATTCTTTTAGTTTTACATTATTATTTTTCTTTACTCTTTCAATTTTCTCACTGATTTCACTATCCGTATAGTACTTC